ATTAAGACATCCAAGTGGTGATGCTGAAAAAATACCTGTATATGCAGCACTGAGTTAGAGGAAAGGTATGGGCTATATTTATATACCTGTGAATTTGTATGTGTATATAGGTGGTACTTAAAAGCTTTACAAGTGAAAGAATCGCCAAGTGAGTATGGACAGAAAATACAGGAGGCCTAAGCTGTAATGGAGAAGGTACCCCAGGTGAATCAGAAATCCTAAGGAGGCTGAGAAAAGACCGATGAGGCTAGAGTAAGACATCAGAAAGGTATAGTATCTTAAAAGGGAAGTAAAGGAAATGCATCAAGTATGGAGGAGTCATGTGTGCCAAATGCTGGTGAGGGCGACAAGAATTACCAATTCATTACTGAAATGTGCAATATGTATGTCACTTTTGTGTTGGGAAGAAAAAATAGTTCAGGCAAAGCAGTGGGGATAAAGTATGCTTGGATTTACTAAACAATGCCTAAGTGCCTCATTTCGTTATGCATTATGATTCTACAACTACTTTTATAGTGTTATGTATTTTAGAAGAAGGAGCTATATCATGCATATACATATATACGTATATATATATGTATATATATATTTTGAGGGGTGCACTACACTTTTGTGGTGCTAGAAATCAAACTCAGAATTCCACTATGCCAAGCAGGTGATCTGCCACTGAGCCACATTCCTATTCCTGATAATTCATTCTTTTTTTTCCTTTTTTTTGGTACCAGGGATTGCTCTTGGGACCTTGCTCTTGTGAGGCAGGTGGCAGTACCACTGAGCCCTGGCCCTGATAACTCATTCTTTTTCTTGCTCTTTTATTTGGCCAAGCAAGTACGACTGAATTTTAATATTAAATGTACATACGACAGAACTGTGATCAGAGGTAAACAAAATCAGTATGGTGGCAAAGGTGGACATGCTGGTGGGGTGGGTTACTATTTTTAAAAAATCATGGAAAAGGTCTTCAGGTTCACTGCTGTCTTTGGGTTGACCATTCCTTATCGAAAGGCAAAGTTTAGCTGGGCTTGGTAATACATGTCTGTAATTCAGTACTTGAGGAGGCTAAGGTAGGAGGACTGCCCTGAGTTCCAGGCCAGTGTGGGTTATTCAGTAAATTCAAGGTGGGCCTCAATAACATAATGAGACTGTCTTAAAAAACAAAAATAGGGCTGGGGATTTAGCTCAGTGGTTCCAGTGTCTGCCTTGCAAGTGCAAGTTCAATCCCCAGTACCAAAAAAAAAAGCAAACGCAAAAGCAAAAGCCAGAGAAGGGTATGGTCTCTAGGCACCAAAAAGTAAACGAAGGAAACTAAACATGAAACGTATTTCCATCTTTAAATGAATCACACAACGCACTTCTGATCCATAGATGTATCTGCCCCCTATCATATCATGGCGTAAGAACTAACTTCAATATTTCTGCTTTTATGATTTCCATTTCTTTTGCAATACTTCACTAACTCTTTAATGGGTACTCAAGAACTCTAAGGAAGCTGAATTCAGTGGTATATGCTTGTAACCTCAGCTACTCTGGAGGGTGAGACAAAGATTGCAAGTTTGAGGCTAACCTGAGCAATTTATTGAGACTCTGTCTCAAAATAAATAAATAAAAAGCCTGGGAATATAGATCAGTACTCCCTGGGTTCAAACCCTAGAAGTGCAAACAAACAGCAACACTAAGTAATACTCTGAAAATGTTACTTCTGAGCTGAAACATAATGTATATCTAAGTGATATGAGCAGATACCAGAACTAAACTGTATCAAGACAATGTGCATTAAATAATCTTTTGCAGAAAGAACTCTGGATTAAATGCAGTTCTTCAAAGGTCATCACAACAAAGTTCTTCCACAAACACATTCAAAACTGACACTTCAGAAATTGCAAATTTAAACAAATTAATGCCTGCATGAATCCACATATGAGCAAATACTGCAACTGAAATGATTAGTCACAAAAGGGCAACTATACGCTTTATCAAAGATCTTATACAAGAATTATGTGATTTGCTTTTTTAAAAACTTTCATGGGGTGTGGTGGCTCACGCTGTAATCCCAGTACTCGGGAGGCTGAGGCAGGAGGATCGCCATGAGTTTGAGACCAGCCTGGGCTACATACTGAGACCCTGCCTCCAAAACAAAACACAAAAAAACTTCACATGCTATGAAAAAGAAAACACAATGAAGCCAAAAAAACAAAACCAAACCAAAACAAATGAACAAACAAACAAACAAAAAAAAGTTTCATTGAATCTATTCCCTTTCCATGGAAAAGTGGCTAAGGGACTAACATAATACATTTTAAAATGTAGGTCAATGGGTAATACCTGATATCCACTCTGAGCTTAGGGTAATACTGAGACACATATTTCCTAATAAGACTATAGGAAGCTTCTTTAGGTTCACAAAGACGAGTAAAGGCCAGTGGAAGGATATCCTCCAATTTTACTTGTGGTTCTGGATTCATTGCAGAGCTTCTCTTCTGAAATAATAGCAAAAGTTTATAAGATTATAGAGCTTTCAGTTCAAGTTTCTACATATAACTAACTCATTTCTTTAGCTGACTGGCAAATCAACTGCCAAGTGGAAACTGATTTTTTTCCCACTTTCAAATAAACCATTACCACAGTGAAGTAAATGTGAATTACAGAACAATTTCTTTCAGATACAAAATTTTTTAAAAAAATTTCAGACTAAGTATATAATACACATAAAGAATATTTTATTCAAAGGTCTCAGACTTCAGTAACGAAGAATCAAGTGCATAATCAGAACAGATGAGTAAGTAGGCATTTCACTTTATTATTATAGAAATACTTTTCATAAATGATACTGTCTTGGAGAGGGAGATACTAATATTTAGAAAGTGACATAAAAATTGGCTCTGAAGAGGTTTTAGACCTAGTGTTCGGTAAAACTGTACTTGTATACCTTCTCTAGTTTTAAAGATATCTCACCAAAAACAGAGTAATTCATGTATTTGCCAATAAAATTCAATATAAGCATTTAAGACCATGGACTTAACTGGGTTGGAGTGCTTGGATTTGCAGCCTGGCCATTCTACATACTAGCAGGGCAAATTACTTACAACCTCTCTAGACCTTAGGAGAAAGGTTGCACTTTGCACAGTGGCAATCACACAGTAAGAACTTAGTAAGTGCTGCTATCTTTAAGAGTTAACAGTATTTTAGTGCTCCAACTCTGGTATAGACATCTTTCTTACCTTTCTGTTTCTGGATTTCTGAGATGTTTTTCTTGATTTCTGGACCACGACAAAACTTCCAGATGCACCTTTTCCTTTTACCTAAAGTTTTATTTAAAATTATTCCAGTATTCACACTTGTAACTACATTAGACTAACAGAATTATAGAGCACAATGCCAGAGCTAATCTAAATGCTATTTAACTCTTCAGAGAGAAAACAATGGAAGAATAATCAAAAGACTTGGGATTGGGCTGGGATTTAACTCAGTGGTGCTGCAGCCTGCCTCGAAAGCAGAAGGTCCCAAGATTGATCCCTGGTACCAAAAAAAAAAAAAAAAAAAAAAGACTTGGGATGAAATCCTTCCTAATTATGGTACCACTGTAGCTCTTCAATAATGGATAATCTCATAACCCTTTGAGGTTTTTGTTTTGTTTTGAGATAGGGTCTTGTCATGTGGTTCAGGCTGGCCCTGAATTCATGATGTAGACTAGGTTTGCCCTGACCTCACTGTGACACTCCTGTCTCAGCCTCCTGAATGATGGAATTACATGCACTATAATATCCAACTCCCTCTAAGATTTTGTTTCCACAACTGCAAAACTGAGGAAGAATGCTATCATGATACTGGGTTAAATAATCTATTACAAGCTTTCAAAAAATCCAAAACACTAAAAACAAAATTGAAAAAAAAATTCCTTAGGGTAAATGAGAAAAAGATGATAGCTCCTCACAAGATGTGATTCTAACAAGTCTCAGGTCATAATGCTTCTCATGGTTTACCTGTGAAAAATTACTCCTGTGCAAAAAGGTCATCAGAGAATTTGTTAAGACACTGCACGTGATGATCTGCATAAATTTTACCACATATTTCCAATTTACAAAATGCTTTCATACAACTCTGAAGATGATTCACAGTGCAGCTATCAATTTAACAAGGTGAAATGCTTTTAGTATATTAACTGCTGTTTAAGCACCAACGTGAGGCTTAGTCTAGACACAAGAATAAGCCAGAAACTAAATTTTCATAAAGAAAAATATGAAGCCAACCCATAAGCTGTTCTGACATACATTTATAAGGTGATAAATTTATGCTTTTAATGATTACACTGACTAAATAAGATCTTTTAATCAGTGATCACATTTTAAAGGTCATTTAAAGTATCAATTTTACAGTATTTTGAGAAAGCTTAGAATGTAAACTTTACAACCGCAGAAATCTGTTCTATTCACTGATGGCCCCTAATCATCTGAAACAATACATATTTGCAAGGGATTTACTGACAGTTTCTAAGCAGAGTGTAAATGCCTAAGTGTCACAGAATCCTACAGTCATCAGTAAAGAAAGTTATAGAAAAAAGTCAACAGAACTCTGGAAATGTGGGGAACAAGGTAATGAAAACCATTTTTGTTACTACCACGATACTTATGTAATTATTTTGTCACTCTGGGCCTCTGAAGAAGGTAGGTTAGACAAGGTCCATTCTAGGGTGGGGTCAATGCTAGGGACTGCAACCAGAATCTGTACATGCACAGGCAAGTTCTCTAATGATAAATTACAAGTCAAGCCCCAGACTTCCATGATTCTAAGCAATACTGATGAACTATGGTATTCAAGTTAACAAAGATTATGCCTGAAATCAATACACATTCTAGCACTAATCTCAAATTTACTCAGGCTTCTCCAATGCTCCTCTTACAGGGTTAGATACTAATCAATTGAGGTCAACTTTTTTCTTTTTCCTTTTTGTGATACTAGGGATTAATCCAGGGGTGCTTTAAAAATTAGCTACACCCTAAGCCCTTTTTATTTTGAGACAGGGTCTTGTTAAGTTGCCTAGGAATCCCTTCAACTTGCGATTCTACCTCCGACAGCCAAGTAGCTGAGATTAGAGGTGCATGTCAGTATCTCTGGCTCTCTTTTATTTAAGATAGGATCTCACTAAATTACCTTGGCCTGCCTTGAACTTGCAATCCTACTGTCTCAATCCCTCAAATAGCTGCGATTAGTAGCATGTTGTACCACACAAGGCCAAAGTGAGCCTATTTACAAGCCAAGTAACAAATTTAGATGTAAGTTAGGCTTTAAGGCTAACAAACCTATGACAGGACCGATCACCCTTATTATTAATGTAATAGTAAGACTCCTTAACCCTGCTTCTCATTTTCAGAGAGGTATGTAAATTTTGGCACATGCAGCCACCAAAGAAACTCCAACTAAGGTTTACAGGTGTACCTCAATGGCAGAGTGCTTGCTGAGTATGCATCAAGCCCTGGGGTTTGATCCCTAGCACACAAAACAAATAAATGTCAAAATTCAACTAAGAATACAATAAAGGGCCAGGGATTTAGCTCAGTGGTGCTGCCACCTGCCTCATAAGGGCAAGGTCCCAAGCTTAATCCCGGTAACAAACAAACAAACAAACAACCAACCCAATAAAAATGTAACAATCTTGTTTCTTCTGCTCTCTAAAGAATAGTTAGCTAAAAAAGGGGACTGGCGCTAGTGTCTGTGGAATCTGGTTTAATAATAAAACTGGTTAAGCTTAAGTATTTCAACAATGCATAAATTATTTTTAATAAAAGAGCTTAAGTATTCTAAATACAAACTTAGTATAGCCAATACACAAAATCATCTTATTTCTGCATTCCCCCCACTACTGAGTATAAAACCTAAGCAATAATACTAGGCACATCCTCTACAGCTAGCTCATCCCCAGCTGGAAGTAATCTCGATTTCAACAATAAATATTACCTGTTTGATGACTCCTCTATTTAATTCTCTTTTCAGTGCTTGTTTAAGGAGATAACCCCTTCTCTCCAACTCCAAAGAAGGATACTTATGGATGATGTATTTTCGAATAGCAACCACTGATGCACCACTCTTCTGGAAGCATGCCTAAAAATTTATCAAACCACACACACTACATGTTTATCAGAAATCTTGACATATTTTCAAAATAAAATCTTTTCAAAGTGAACCTGACAATAAATGATAAAAATGGCAGGAAAGAATGAATAGTACTTCAGATAACATCAGTTCATAAGGGTATAAAGAAATACATAATTATATTTCTACACAATGGAGTACTATTCTGCTATAAAAGATAAAGTTGAATTATTTGTAATAATAGATGCACCCCGAGGCCATAATTTTAGGTAAAATAAATCAAACATGCAAGCTTAAAAATTGAGCGATTTCTCTTTATGAGAAACCCAAAGTATAAACAACGAGCAAAATAAAAGAGAGATAATTGGAAATAGGAGGCAGGGCCTTCTGCAAATGGGAAGAGACCAAGAGATGAAAGGAGCTGGGAGGAAGGACAGGAAAGGAGAAACAAAAGTATTAAGATGTGTTATGTACATGTACCACCTCCCCACAATGAATGCAATTATTAAATACTACAAACATGTGCTAAGAAAAAAAAGTTAAAATACTTTTGCAAACAAAGACATTAACAATAATCAACCAAAAATCTCTTTCCATTTTAATTCTTTTATATTTAGAAGATAGAACTTCTGCATTAAAATGAGGAAAGCAGAACAATTCTATCACTTACAGGATTACAATTCATTTCAAGGAATGAATTTTGTTGCACTAGGACCAGTATTTCTCTGCAGGCTATGAGTATTAGTAGAAAGGAAGCATAAGTAACTCTAAACACAACTATGCTTATAGATGGCACAGTTTTCTGGGCTTTTTTTTTTTTTTTTTTTTT